AGAGAGAGAGAGAGAGAGCGAGGATATATGTAGATGTCTATGGGCCACAGTATCCACTTACTATTAGGTGAACTGTGTGTTCATTTATCTTCCTTACTCTATAAAGTAAAATCAGTAAATAAACGTCATTAAATACATAAGGCTAACGGTAAACACTGAAGTAAAATTTAATCTTTAAATTATCTGTTTAATGTACATCCATTCAAAAATCATAGAACCCCATATTTAAATTAAAACCTTTCCCTTATTTAAAACGGGCTCCCACAATACCAGCACAATTAAATATTGTTTATTTTGTCGCTGACCCGAAGTAATTACACGCGACAAAAACAAAATGGTTGGAATCACGCCTCACGTGAATTTAGAATTAGGCCTACAATACAGTGTGCGAAGCAGATAACGAACTAACCGTATTGTAAATAATTCGGATCACGCACAAGCATTTCATCTAATTTGTTACCGTGCTCGGTATTAATCCGTAGTTTAAGATGTATTACAATATAGAATAAGTACCTAAACATAAAATATTTTCCAATCTCCTTGTGTGTTGTCTATTGAAGTTTTAATTAAAATCCCTACGTCGTAACCTAAGCTGAGTTTCGTAGTGACCGCATCGAATTGTACTCATTCCTTACCACTACCACTTAAGGCGTACACGTACAAGATTCTATGTTAAATTAAGCCAATGTTTTATGTATGTATTCTTAATGATTTCTTATATTTACGCGAACACTACACATTTTTAACCCTTAGCCACCTAACGTGTATTCTAGTAACACTTCCACCTAACGTCGGTCATGGTGACCGCTTGCATATAAGTACTATTATAAAGGTGAAAAAATCATATTTTGGCAAAAATCGGAACTACAAAAAAAAATTCAGGTGTTTTTATTTCAAATTGTTTCAATAAACTCTTCAAATTAATACTTCTTACTTCTTATTACTACGAGTATTAATAAAAATTGACTAACGAATATTTTAACAAATTATAGGTTTTCCGATTAAACTGAGTTCTAAGCAATAACAATCAATGAGACTTCTTAGTTTTTAAATATTTTAGTAACTTAAATATATACCCCTTATATAAAACTATCAATTCACAATTAAATCACAATCGTTACAAAATTACAACATCCTAACATTCACAATTTCTCGCGGCAGCGTACACACATTTTTTGAGAACACTCAACGCAAATTGGATTTTTGCACTGAAAACACAAATGGAATGTTTTACGTTTCTTCTTTGGGTCACACGTTGAACAAGTTTTGCGTGTTTCTAATTTGTCAGAGCTGTTTGCCGAAGATGTTCTGGGTTCTTCATCTATTTTGAGAACCCGGCGAATAGCGTTCTGAAGTTCCCTTTGCAATCCAAACTGGTTCGCTCGACGTCATAAATGGGGTGTAATAAGGTCTTCAGCCAGTTGTTTCATGAAATTCAGTCTGGGCACCTTTCTCTGAGATTGGTTCATGCTGCTGATAATGTGCGCATTTGCTGCAGAAACATCCAGCATTCTGTAGAAGACCGCCATTGGCCAGCGCTGTGTGCGTCGAGAAGTTGAGTAAATGACACATTTCTGATCTAATGTATTGACGCCATCTTAGGTGCTATTATAAAAAAAAATTATTTCTGGCTTTTGCTTTTGTGGATCGATGGTTGGTGAGTGATGCATGCTGGAGAGAACAAGCACGGATTTGTTTTGCTTTGGTACAAAAGATAGCAATGTTGCATCTGACGTGAATCCAAAAATCGAAGAGCCAACGTCCCGATGACGGCTAGGCAGAAATTGAGGAGGTACTTCCCTTTTATTTTTTTTAAGGGTACCCACAAGTGTCAGCTGTTTTTGCTTTAGGATGTTCATTAGCTCCACCGAAGTGAACTAGTTATCAGTCGTTACATTTCTGTGGGTTCCTTCAATCGACGCAACCAATCGCAAAACCGCTTGCGTGGGTTTGTTCAGTCTTTGGTATTCAATGGGCAAGCCTTGGCTATCTGCGTCGGCTATCGGCGTTATAGCAAAATTCAAGCCTTTCGACAATACTTTTATTGTAGTATAAAACAAACCCTACAACTAATACACTTAAAACAACTACTGATTTAATAAAGAAATACTCCAAAAAATTAGATCTCGATGTGAATTCGACAATACCATCATGTGCCAAACCACCGAGGTGTATGGGTGTATGGGTTACCGAAAATACACAAACCAAACGCTCCACTACGTCCTATAGTAAGCCAGATCGATTCACCAACTTATAAGTTGGCTCAACACTTGGCTAAAATACTGTCACCACTAAGAGGACATACCAGAGCACACACAAAGGATTCATACCATTTTGTTAGTGAGATTAAAGACCTACATCTCGCTGACAATGAAACTATGGTCAGTTTTGATGTTCAGTCACTATTCACATGCCTACCTATTGAAGACTGCATCTCAATTGTTACTAGAAAGCTAGAAGATAACAACATGCCTACAGAATATGCAGTATTACTCAGACATTGCCTCACATCTGGCTATTTATTGTGGAAAGAAGAGTTCTACATGCAAGTAGACGGAGTGGCAATGGGCTCACCTGTATCTCCCGTAGTCGCCGACATATTCATGGAGGACTTTGAGGAGAAAGCCCTTCTTACTGCTCCTGTAAATCCAAGATTCTACAAGCGGTACGTAGACGATACTTTCACAATTTTACCATCTGACAAAGTAACTGCATTTTTAAACCACCTTAATTCCATAAACCCTAAAATACAATTCACAATGGAGTTAGAGGCAAACAATACTTTAGCTTTCCTAGATGTTTTAGTCATCCGAAATCCTGATAACACTATTGGTCAAACTGTGTACAGAAAAAATACCCATACCAACCGATATCTAAATGGTGAATCTCACCGTCATCCTTCACAGTTAGCTACCGTGGGAAAATCTTTGTTTCAGAGAGCACGAGGGATCTGTGACAGAAAACATCTGGCCGCCGAGCTTCAGCACGTCGAGCAAGTACTGCAAGACAACAAGCTTCGGGTCCCGCGCCTACGTCACAGTGACCGAGTGAAGCCAGCCACAGTCGAGCGTGTGCCTGCTGTACTACCCTATGTCAGAGGAGTCACAGACAAGGTTGGCTACATCTTGAAGCGAGCTTCCATTAAAACATACTTCAAGCCGCTGAAGAAGATTGGTCAATTTTTACCATCCGTCAAGTGTCATATCCTTCTACAAGATGCAGGAGTGTACAAGCTGGATTGTGAATGTGGTCTCTCGTACATTGGACAAACAAAAAGATCTATTAAAACCCGCGTTAAAGAACATATAGCTGACGTGAAGCACCGACGTATCGGGAAGTCTGCAGTTTGTGAACATGTTCAAGATCGTCCCCGCCATTACATTAGATTTGATAGACCACAAATCCTCGCAAAAGAACACCGATTCCTCCCAAGGATGATTCGCGAGGCTATTGAAATTAAAAAACATCCTAATTTCAATAGAGAAGATGGATGGGTGCTGCCATCTGCTTGGGATCCCATAATTAATAAAATCAAATCCAAACCCAAGTATACCACTGCTAGACTTCAAGATACTGTAAGCTCATTCTGCGTAAATCGGACCAAAAAAAAATTAATATTAAAAAACTGAAGGTAGCCGGGCTAACTATGACAGCAGGACGTCAAACACCTCAGTCCCCCGTGACCACGGGTGCTGGAAAGCACCCGAAACGTCGGGAATATAAAAATAGATTAATATACGCGATAAAATCCGTAAAATTAGTTTTATTTAAAAATGTATGTATTCTGTTACAAGGCCTCCGCTTAGTTGATATTTTAGCATTATTATAACAAATGAATAAGGTTTTGTATAGTTTTGGGTGGGTAAAATACAAAGTTCTACGCTTATATATTATATATCTTACGCTTATATCTATTATATTTGCCAGGCCTTATGCTTACATACACATTACATACACAAACACTCATCTGGGTCTCTTCTGAACTGCCCGACGTTCACCGGTCCTGACGTACCTTTTTTAATCCACAGGTAACATATAGAAAACTGCTGAAACTGAAGGATCAAGGAGATGAGTTTTTTATCTATTGACGATAGCGGAATGGGTATGTAATGTGAACTGTCAAAGCGTTATTGCTTGCGTTGACGGGAAAGTTGACCGTTACTAGTGGTCATTACGGGTGTAGTTCACAAAAGGTTGCTCGCTTCAAGTTATGGAGTGCTTGCCAGTAAGAAAAAATATTTATTAAGTAAGAGGAAATGTTTTCCTTCCAAATTGCACTACTTTTAATCATACAAATGTTGTAGAGCCACGCTGCAGCTATATTAGTAGTATAGTTGTAGCACGAATGGGTCAGCTCGATCGGGGAAGGACCACGATCTCACAGAATACCAGCGTAAAATAACAGCTTAATGATGCTGTGTTTCGTATGGTGAGTGTAGAGAACCGGAGACCCATTTTACTGGAAAAGAGGCATTCCATCTTAGTCCTCACGGATTACGACGCATCTGCATTTTGATTCTTTATTGAGTATAAATGTAGATGTCTATGGTTCACAGCAACCACTTACCATCAGGTGGACTGTGTGCTAGTGTGTCACCCTATCCTATGCAAAAAAACAGTCGTTTCTTATTTCTCGTCAAATAAAATATCAAGTTCAATTAAGAATAGACAACCGCAAGTACATATATAGTAATAACAAATAGTATGTGCTAAATATAAAATAAATGTACAGCTTGAAGGCGCAGTGACTTGACATTGAGTTGCGGCGCTGAGGGACACAGATTCAATTCCGCACGGACAAGTATTTGTATTGCCTAAAAATAAATGTTCCGGGTCGGGATGTTTGTCCTTGTACAATTTATGTTCATATACTGCCTCCACGATACAGTAGAAAATCCTAGTGTGGGGTTAAAATTTTTAAAAGAATATGAAGTAAATAAAAAATTTAAAAATGACAAATTTCATATCATGTTGTAATCAAAGTCATTACATTAGATAATTTATTGGTTGAGTGCGTGTCTCGGTATAAACTCCAAGTAAAGATGTTGCCCGGGCATAAGGAACATTCCTTTCTTTTCGGGTTCAGTTTCAGAAGGTAAAGGAGCATTCGGCTTGGGACGGAGCTCAAAATTAAATACGATCGCTGCAAGAGCAGAGCGTAAATTTTGTTCGGCAAAGCGACGCCCTGAAATAAAAAAGGTCTCATCATCATTTCTTACATTTACATGAATGCTACACATTGAATGAATCTAATATTACGGATTTATCCTGTTTGATTTTAAACCTAACCCGCACGTTATAGCACCCATAGTTAGAGGAGAGATTAATAAATTGAGATTTACAATAACCTAACCGTCAATACTGTTCTTGATCGTCATACTGCCGAAGATGATAACATAGAACTTTCATATTATTGAAAAGGTTTATGGACATTTAACCATATTTGCGCTGATGAATAGACAGGCAATTCAGCTGAGTACGAAAGGAAGATATGTGTATGTTACAATATTAAGGGGACGATCAAATATTTTAAGACTTTTTTGAGCTCTGAGCAAACCTTATCAACATAGTAATCGGTAGAATGACAATTTAGACAAGTAATATTATTGCAGCGATTTGATAAAAAAGTTATATAACAAAAAACATGTAAAGTTGCAGTGGCTTTGCGACCTAACACTTGATTATGTTTCTTCTATGAAGGCAGCTATCAAGATACAGATCGAGAGAGAAAGAGTATAGGATGGCATTGTTAAATAACGTATAATTGTAAAATAATAGGTGTAGTAAGAAGTGACAGATAGACATGAAACAAGAGATGCACAGCAGCATCTTCCTGATGACAACTCCAAAATAATAAAAAACTGCAGTTACAGATTGATTTGGAGAGGAAGAAGGTTTTCCCCTTGATGTTATCTACTTATAGACTAAAATTATAAATGGATTATTTTGACTTACCTATGCAATGTCTTGGGCCTTCACCAAACGGCAAATAACACATAGCATTTATTTGTTTTTCATTCTCTGGTAAGAAGCGATCGGGATCAAAAATTTCTGGTTTAGGGAAAAATTCGGGATCGTAATGCATGCCAATACCATTGACATATATTGGTGTTCCCGCAGTGATGGTAAGGTTTTCATCAATTTGGTAATCCTTGGATGCGATTCTATCTAACCACCCCATTGGTGCGTACTTTCTTAATGTTTCTGAAACGTTATATCAAGATATAAGTTTGGCTTTGTTACATTTATTGTAATCATTGTATTAATTATAACTCATGAGATGTCCATCACTGAATAAAGTCTTTTCTAAAACCTGCCACACAAAACCATCGTGATCCATTTGCATTCATTTTCTTCTTTCATGCCACATCAAGTGGTCATTTTGCGAGGAGTTGCTCTAAATTGCTCTTGCCTATAGGAGTTATATGAGAACCATTTTTCTTTTTTATAGAATAAGGGTGACAAACGAGCACAGAGTCCACCTGATGGTAAGTGCGGTGAGGACTAAGATAGAATGCGTCTTTCCCAGTAAAATTGGTCTCCGGTTCTCTACACTCACCATACAAAACACAGTATCATTAAGCTGTTATTTTACGCTGGTTTTCTGTGAGATCGTGGTCCTTTCCCGATCGAGCTGACCCATTCGTGCTACAGCTATTCTATTAATATAGCTGGAGCATGGCTCTGTCACGTAAGAATTGTTTTTTCAAACAATAACCAGTTTTAAATTCTACGTAGCCAGATCATTTCCCACTAAACAATTCACCTGAAGCGTAATTATGTATCTGTGTGGGGAATCTGTGATGGAAGTCGATGTCCTTTTATAATAATCTCTTAGCTTAGGTCATAAACGTGTATATACGTAACGTTCACCATTTAACAAAGACCGAGTAGTGTTGGTGTAAAAATCAACTACACCGTATCGTCCCGTGGGTGTCGTACGAGGCAACAGAGGGAAACAGGAGTAGTGTCCTCACTGTAATAACTAGAAAATAAACTGCGGTTTCCATCCCGCATGCCAAACGTGGCAACTATGTCAAGTGTCCCCCTAAAAAGACAATTTAATAACATATCCCATTTATCAAGCAATCTATGGAAAGGCCTAATACCTATGTTCAGCAGTGTACTAATTCGGTTCAGAATGAAATTAATTAAGGTGAATTTATTCACGATATAGCCTATCAAAGTTTTTTTTTTTATAGGATAAGGGGACAAACGAGCACACAGTCCACCTGATGGTAAGTGGTTGCTGTGGCCCATAGACATCTACATTTAACCTCGATTACGAATCAAAATGCAGATGCGTTGTCACCCGTGAGAACTAAGATGGAATGCCTCGTTTCCAGTAAAAAGGGTCTCCGGTTCTCTACACTCACCATACGAAACACAGCAGCATTAAGCTGCTATTTTACGCTGGTATTCTGTGAGAGCGTGGTCCTTCCCCGGTCGAACCGACCCATTCGTGTTACAACTATACCAGAATAATAGCTGCAGCATGGCTCTACCACGTGTAAAGTCACGCCAATATTACGTATTATTATCATTATAATAAACATAACGCAGCTGAGAAGTAATTTCCATTGAAAAGCGATTTAGGCAGATATTACTCCTCAGCTGAGCGAGTGGTGAGTTCAGCAGTGCCTTTAAGCATTCTTTAGGTTGTGCCGGTTACTTTGTTTTAACTTTGCAAGTAGTATTAGTTACTCGACTCCATCGAGTCAGTAATTCATTCTTGGGGCAATATATACGCTTTTACAACAAAATTCCAGAAAATATACAAATTTGACCTGCTCAAAGTTCAAAAACTTTACTAAACTATGTTTGTATAAAAAGGTTTATTATAATATACACATAAACATGAAGGATTATGGTCACAAATAAACATCTAACATATCTCTCAATATTTTTATCGACAATATATTTCGTTAAGGGGACGAACCACGAACTTAAAGGTCGTGAGTTTCCCGCCATTCGACTACTGTCTTGAACCACTCATAACCTAAGCACCTTATGCTTACTTGGTGCGATTAACGGAAAACGGGGAGCGGGGAGCAGCGGCGCGAGTTGCCTCGGGTGTGCAAACCAGCGGAGTATCTGAGACCGGACAATTTTGCAAGTTCATGCTGTATTACAGTTTTTTTAATAATTTTTTTTCTATTCAAGATGTGGTTAAACTTTATTTTACTTTTATTCTTTAAATGTATTAAACGTGTTTTCTAAGATGAAATCATTCTCCTGAAATCATTCTCATTCGAATGAGTTTTTAAATTACTGATGACAACTATTTATAGGACTCGCTCATAATTGACAGTTTTTGTTATTTACTTACATACATGGTACATAATATTGTTTAATTTATAATTTTCTTTATTTTTCATGATAATATTTATTGTTAATTATATTTTTTTTAATTGTACTTTTGATAACATTAGGATATGATTGGATGGATTGATTGTTGTCGTTAATTTAATGATTTAATAATGATTGATGTTGATGTGTTAATTTTGTATAATTTTATAAATTCTAAGAATAAATAAATTTGCATGTCTCCATTAGGGACTTAGTATGTATACATAGTATTTAACAATATCTTATGTAACATATATATACTAAAAAGCAAATAAATAAATAAATTCATCATCTTCATTTTTAAGATGAAATTAAAATATAGACAACTACGCACCTTTTATCACACAGTTTAAATATACCAGTTCAGATAAAAGTTTTGCATTAAATTCGGTGTTTCCACTATTCCTTTCAGCATCTTTAAGTTCCTTGTACAGTTTTTCCTGAAAGAAGATTTATTATAATTACCTCTCTCTTCTTCGTTAGGCTATAATATTTGTTGCGAGAAGAAGGCTTTTCCTTTTCAATAAATCCAAGCCAATACAGTCTATAAAAGTATACTGCTGAACATAGGTCTCCCACATAGATTGCTTCATAAGGTTTATATTTACTACTAGCTGTTCCCCGCAACTTCGCCCGCGTGTTATTTAGGGTTTTAATATTTTTGCGCGGAACCCTAATTTTTTTTCTAAAATAAAAGTAGCTTAAGTTACTCCTTGTGACATCGAGAAATTAAAGTACAATATCTCAATTTTAACGGTGGTAGAGCCACGCAGCAGCTTTTACTGTTCCACATTTGGGCCGGTTCGAGCCGGGTTAAAATTTAGCAACAATACCAAGGCGACCCCTGCTACGCTACCCGTGAATTTCTGCAACATCGGGGGACTTCACTCGAACCTAAACGCTGTCCACTACCATTTGGAGACGGCGAAGCCGGCCTTGCTCTTTCTCACCGAGACGCAGGTGTCCTCTCTGGCTGATAATTCGTATCTCTCCTACCCGGGGTACAAATTGAGCACTCCTTTGTGCCTCGAGTTGGAGTTTGCGTATATGTCAGAGAGAACATTTGTTATCAACGCCTCGGCAGACTTGAAGGTACGAACCTGTCCATCCTATGACTGCGCGTGGACAGCGACGACCATCCCCGCGTCTACGGGTGCCTCTATAGGTCCCATAGTGGTAATGCCGAAACAGACCGACTCATCGACCACGTCCAAATGGCTAAAGATTCCTTGCTACAACAGGTCCCATCCGCAGAGATCGTGATCCTTGGCGATTTTAACGCCCACTACGCCGAATGGCTCGGTTCAAGTTTAACCAATCATGCGGAGAGATCTGTTTATGACTTTGCCTTGGCATATGATCTGACACAACTGGTTAGTTCGCCTACGCGAATTCCAGATGTGGAGGATCATACACCTTCCCTATTGAACACTCTGCTGACCTCCCATCCGGACAGATATCAGGTTTCCGTCGATGCCACTCTCGGCTCTTTGGACCATTGTCTGATCCGGAGTGTGGTACCACTCACACTCCGCTCGCGGTTGCGTTCAGCAGGTTGCCGCCGTGTTTGGCATTACAGGTCGGCGAATTGGGACGGAATGCGATCTTTCTTTGCTTCCTACCCATCGGGGCGGGTTTGCTTCTCGCCGATGGATCCCAGCGCTGTTGCTGACTCTGTCTTTGATGTGGTGCTACAGGGAATGGAACTATTTATTCCATCATCTGTGGTACCCTTCGGAGGCGGATCTCAGCCTTGGTTTGGTCGCTCCTGTAAGACAGCATTACACAGTAAGCAGGAGAGTTATCAAGCCTGGGCTGCGGCTTCGGCGTTCTCGGGATGTAAACACCAGCATACTTAAAAAGAAGTATAACTTCGCCTCTAGGTCCTTCAAAAAAGTAATTGCCAGGGCAAAGTCAGATCACATAGGCAGAATTGGCGAGAAACTAGTTCGCCTTCCTTCGGGAACCCGTGGATTTTGATCTCTCGCCAAGGCTGTCCAAGGGAATTTCTGTAAGCCATCACTACCAACTCTGCACAGGGAGGACGACTCACTGGCCCACACCGCAAAAGAGAAAGCCGACCTTTTAGGCTCCCTTTTTGCGTCCAACTCGACTCTTGATAATGGGGGAACACACCGCCAACCATCCCGCGGTGTAAGTGCTCCATGCCGGATGTGCGGTTCTCACAGCACTTGGTTTGCAAAGCACTTTCTCCCTGGACATCCACAAGTCGAGTGGCCCTGACGGAATCCCCCCAATTGTGCTGAGGACGTGTGCTTCGGAGTTAGTACCGGTTCTAACGCGTCTTTTCTAGTACTCCTACTCCCTAGGCGAAATTCCGAAATCATGGAAGACAGCTTTTGTCCACCCGATCCCTAAAAAAGGCGACCGCTCAGACCCGTCTAACTACAGGCCTATCACCATCACCTTCTTGTTCTCCAAAACAATGGAATCCATTATAAACTGCCACCTCATGCGGTACCTTGAGGATCACCAGCTGATTAGTGACCGCCAGTACGGTTTTCGTCGGGATCGATCAGCTGGTGATCTTCTGGTCTACTTAACTCATATATGGGCGGATGCAGTAGAGTCCAAGGAGGAGGCATTGTCCGTTAGTTTGGACATTGCGAAGGCCTTCGATCGGGTTTGGTACAAAGCACTTCTTTCGAAGCTCCCTTCCCGAGAAAATGTGCAATTGGATCACCAGCTTCCTTGCAGATCGGAGCATCAAGGTCGTTGTAGACGGTGCATGCTCCGACTACAAGCCTATTAACGCTGGTGTTTCACAAGGCTGTGTGCTATCACCAACGCTGTTTCTTCTGCATATCAATGATATGTTGCTACCTGGTGACATTCATTGCTATGCCGATGACAGCACTGGTGATGCTCTATCCACCGGCCGTGCCAATATTTCTCGGGAAAACGTCGCCGAGTACCGGAACAAACTTGTGTCTGAACTCTAGTCTTTGCTGAACAAAGTCTCAGATTGGGCGAGGCTAAATCTAGTCCAGTATAATCCTCAGAAAACACAAGTTTGCGCGTTTACCGCTAAAAAGAACCCCTGTGTCGTATCTCCTCAGTTTCAAGGCACTCCCCTAGTTGCCTCAGCCAGTATCGGAATCCTTGGCGTTGACATATCGAGTGACGTGCAGTTTCATGGTCACTTGGAAGAGAAGGCCAAATTGGCCTCTAAAAAGCTTGGCGTGCTCAGCAGAATGGGACAGTATTTCATGCCGTCACAACGCCTGCAACTTTACAAGGCGCAGGTTCAGCCTCACATGGAATACTGTTCCTATTTCTGGGCCGGAGCACCCCAGTGCCAGCTCCTGTTCAGTTCTCAGTGCCCCTGGTGTTGCAGTTGTTCATGGGCGGCGGTAGTCACTTACTATTAGGTTAGCCGCATGCTCGTTTGCCCCTTCTCCTATAAAAAAAATAGTTATTTCTTATATATAGAAGACACTCGCTCGACTGTGGCTGTCTTCAATCATTCACTGTGACGTAAGCATGGAAACCGAAGCTTGCCGTGATTAACTATGATATTGAGCCGTCAAACACCTCAGTCCCTCCGTGACCATGGGTGCTGTAAAGTGCTCGAAACATCGGTAATACAAAATAAGTTAATATACGCGATTAAATCCTTAAAACTAGTTTTATTACAATATCCCACAAACGTTAACTTTTCCGAATGATGTACTTTCAAATTTTTCATTTTCTTCATTACAACTTATTACCATAAAAGTTCACAGCTGAACATGGAGACCTATGTAAAAATGAAAATATTTATCATACTTGTCGCAGTTTTATTAAGATGCTACCAGAACAGGCAGACAGTCGTGTTTCACTTTCCCTCTGTCGTTTCTTACAACATCTACGGGATTATATGTAAAACACAATGACAAACATTCAGACTCGGAACAATTATTCGTAGGTCATACAAATACTTGTTCCTCCGGGCCTCAGCGCCGCAACTCAATTCTAAGCTTCAACGCCATGGATTCCCTTACACCGCCACGACAAAGCTCGGAAGTTAATAATATGAATTTCCTTTACCTGTATTTCAGGAACAAATGCAATCTCATAGAGGCAATAAGATAAAGCCGATGCAGTTGTGTCGAAACCACCCAAGAGAAATATTGCTGCTTGTGCAATCAAAGTGTCTTCAGATATATCTACAATTTAATAAACATGTATGAAGAAACATGCATTCAAACATTTCATTCATAGTCAAAATTCCACTGATGAAGATACGTTACCCGTGCTGCAGCTATATTATAATAGCTTTCGCACGAATGGGTCACCTCGTCTGAGGAAGGACTACGCACTTACAGAATATGTTTTATTTATGGTTACAGTTTAGTATGGTAAGTGAAAAAAACGGGAAACCTTTTTTACTGGAAACGAGAGATTTTATGTTAGTCCTGGGATGACATCGCATCTGCATTTAGATTATCAATTGAAGATAGATGTAGATGTCTATGAGTCAAATCACCCACTAACCATCAGGTGAACTAAAGTCCGTCTGTCACCCTTATTCTATAAATAAAGCTGTCGCGCTTGGCAGGCGGTATGCAACCGTAGTTTTGTTCTTAGATTAACTTAATATGAACAGGATGCTGCTGCCCATATTCTGGTATGTTTTCCCTCCGTTGCCTCTTACGACACCCACAGGATGACTTGGAGTAGTGGATCTCATACTACCGCCACTTCATGGCAACTGAAAGATAGAAGAAAATGGCTGTGTGTTGACGGCATAAGAGTATCCATCAGTCAATAAATAAGGAAGTCTTGGTTGCTATGGGATATGAATTCCGATAGATAACGATATAACATACATTTTATTCCTTAGACATGGACGTTACTCACAATGTTTTCTTTCATCGTCAAGCACGTAGTGAGTACTTAAATTCGCAATTACTAGGGCGACACTGAAAGTTTTTATAACTGGCCACGTATGGAAACGATATAATAAAAAATAAGATCAAATTTTGAAAATGGAACTCTTTGCCAATATTAATAAGTGGGACGGCCTTCTACAGTGACGACTGAAGATAACATCGGTGTTGTGCGGCGTATGATAGAGACTGACATAAGAGTGACTTATCAGCAGATTCTGACAAGCTTAGGCATCACGCAAAAATCTATGAACCAATTTGGATGGGACGCTCACTACCGGATAGTTGATGTTATAATGAGTAACTTGGGCTATTTTTATTTTAGGGTTCCGCGCAAAATAATTCCACGCAGGTGAAGACGCGGGGAGCAGCTAGATAAAAATAAACTAATTACAAATTACAGTACCTTCGTTCTCTTTTTTGCAGTCCTGTTTCATTTTTCGCAAAGCATCGAGCAAGTCTTTGGACTCTCTGATCTCTGCATCGTATCCGCCACGCTGGTCCACAATAGAACAAAATATTTTTCTGAAATACTTGGTGGCGTGTTTCGGGAAAAATGAAAAACTGCAATGCACAAAAGTTCCCCTTTCACTCTATGACAATGCCATGACAAAGGATATAAACTTAAAAAGTAATATAAATGTTTAAAAAAAATCATTACGTATTGTGATGTCATAGGCAAAAATTTGGACATGATGTTAAATAACTGTTTAAAAGGACACCTGATCAGTAATTATTGCATGCCTGGAGCGTCCTTTAGTCACATAATAAATAAAGTTTTAGCTAGTAAATTTTGCCCTAAAAGCACATTAATAATTATATTGATAATCTAAATACTTTAAATGTACATAAAATTATCTTGTTTACATTGCCTTACATACAGGGTTGGCCGCAGGAAAATGAAATAAGATATGAATTAAATTTATTAATGAATAACTTTTCATGTAATAATAATTTAAACTTGATATTTAATTGTTATAATTATAATAATAGAATTAATTTAATAGACCTAAATAATTCAATTAAGAAAATTTTGACTAGAGATAGGTATTACCTATCTAAATATAATTTAAGACAGATTAGCAAATGTGCTATCTTGTTGTTTATATATTAACTCAGCCAAGGACTTGGCTACACAGACTTCTGATTCTTTTGAGCAGTATAATGACTTAATATATAATTTGGAATCAGTTCCAAGTAATTTAAATTAGAAAATGAGACAGTAGAGGTAATCTCTAGCAGTTATAATAATTTAAATAATTTAGAATGTAGCTTACAAATCTTTAATTGTATGACTCCACAAAGTGAGAATGAAAATTGTTTACACCTGGTGCATCAAAATATATAAGGCATGATTAACAAAGAGCTAGAAATTGAGTTGTTCTTAAATATCAACAATATTCATATTGTTATTGTATATCAACATATTGTATTACTGAACATTGGTTAAAAGCTTATAATTTACTGTTTAACTTCAGTAATCACCAAGTAGTCAGTTCTTTTAATAGAGAAACGGTTTTAAGAGGTAGCTCCTTAATATTAGCTAGTAAATTATTATCATTTAAAGAACGTAAAGATATTGTGAGCCTCTCTGTTGAGCGAACTGTAGAAATGGCATGTGTTGAGTTTGAGCACCTCATTGTTGTGAGCGTCTACAGAACCCCATGTTCTATATACGATGCTTTTGAAAAAATTATGGAGGAAGTTTTTACTAAGTTAATAAACAGAATAAATCTGTTGTAATATGTGGATACCTTAATATCGATCTCCTTGAAGTTTCCTCAATCAATATTAAATTTAAATCATTGTTTAAATCATATGGTCTTTTTAATTTATATATTTGTAAGGAACATTATTTAAGCTTATTTGCAATGAATTTAATAATACTTTTACTTCTAAAACATTCTCCTTGATCATTCGGAAGTCATTCAATGAATAGGCGACAGTAGGAGTCCATAAGAGCAGACAAAGGTTATATGATCTTTACCATGCAAGGTCATATAATCATATTATTTATGTAAATAAGAGGATTGATGTATAGTCCCTGAAAACATACATACTTTTATATTATTATTTATTTAGTTAATTAATTAATTAGTTAAGTAAAAGTGAATTTAATCTAAGGGTGGTAAGGTCTCTCTGATTTTGCAATAATTAGATAAAAGTTATCCATAGGATGAAATACAAAATGAACAATTCAAAATTAAATTTGTATTAATCAACTAACTAATTGAATTGTTTCAACTTTACCGAGGTTATAACTTAGTTAGGGCAAATTTTTTAATCATCAGATTAAAGTTATCCATGAAATAAATCACAACCTCTGTCATAAATCCATTACAGCCTATGAATGTCTACTATTGAACAAAGGCCTCTCCCATAGATTGCTACAAAGGGGGATTTTCTTTCTCTGTGCTCGTTTGTCAACCTTATCCTTTAAAACACAGACTTCCCTCGAATCAGTCAGGATAGTGTGAGCAATATCCACCAGATAAAGTGACAACCCAGTTTGATATCCAGGGAGTCGATAATTTCAGGTGGCTTACGGACGTGATTTGTGATGATTTGTGGTGGATTCTTATGTAGTTGTCTTAGTTAGTATGTTATAATGAAGATCATGAATAAGAAGTTTACCCAAGGATATCAACCAGTTCTGGTATGAAGAATATGCAGCACCAGTTCAGACCTCTATACAAATTAAATGTCGAGAATTCCTTTGTGATTACCCTTAGAGGCCCCTCGCTGGTAAGTGTTGCATCTGAGGCTATACCGAATGCCGTAGTTCCAATGATGTCGGTAGTATAGTCTGATAACACCATCTGCCAGCGGGAAAATACAAATTGTTTAAATTAAATATGTTTCTAAAAAAACTAAGCTATATTATAACAATGACAAACGATCTAACATCGCCATGTAGTGACGGCGTCAGAGGAACCACTATCCCAAATCTTGGGTCGTAAGAGGTAACAGAGGGGAACTGCAACAGGAGAAAAACAGTAGCATCTTCCTGACAACAACTGTCCGATGTGGCAACTATGGTAGATATCCCCCTTGCTTGCACGCTTGGCAGGCGTATGTTTTTAACAGAATAAGGATGACAAACGAGCAAACACTTCACCTGATAAAAAGTGGATGCTGTGGCCACAGACACACATCTTTTCTCGATTAAGAATTAAAACGCAGATGCGTTGTCAACCTTGACGGCTAAGATGAAATGCTACGTTACTAATAAAAAGAGTCTCCTGTTTTCTACACTTACCATACGAAATACAGCAGCTTTCAGCTGCTATTTGACACTGGTGGTAGATATGTAAGAGGACTGGGACTTTCCTCGATCTAGTCAACCATTTGTGCTACTACCATTGTAGAATTCCATCACCATCATCTTTTTATGTGGTTGAGCCATGCTGCAGCTATATTACTAGTATAGTTGTAGCACGAATGGGTCGGCTCGACCGGGGAAGGACCACGCTCTCACAGAACACCAGCGTAAAATAGCAGCTTAATGCTGCTGTGTTTCGTATGGTGAGTGTAGAGAACCGGAGACCCTTTTTTTTTTATAGGAGAGGGGGCAAACGAGCATGCGGCTCACCTGATGGTAAGTGACTACCGCCGCCCATGAACAACTTCAACACCAGGGGAATCGCAGATGCGTTGCCGGCCTTTTAAGAAGGAGTACGCTCTTTTCTTGAAGGTCCCTAAGTCGTATCGGTCCGGAAAAATCGCTGATGGTAATCGATTCCACAAGGAGGTCGTGCGAGGAAGAAAACATCTTCTAAATCGCACAGTGGTGGACCGCCAATCATCCAGATGGTGTGGATGGTATCGGGAGTTCTGCCGCGATGTGCGTTCGTGAAATTTGGCGGCTGGGATTAATCCGAACAATTCCTCAGAGCACTCCCCATGGTAGATGCGAAAGAAAATGCAAAGGGATGCAACATCTCTTCGCAGTGCCAATGAATCGAGCCGATCGGAAAGGGCTCGGTCGTCGACAATTCGAGCCGCTCTGCGTTGGATGCGGTCAAGTGGAAGGAGCTGGCACTGGGGAGCCCCTGCCCAGAGATGGGAACAGTATTCCATGTGAGGCCGAACTTGCGCCTTGTAAAGTAGCAGGCGGTGTGCCGGCATGAAATACTGTGCCGCTCTGCTGAGCACGCCAAGCTTTTTAGAGGCCAATTTGGCCTTCCCTTCCAAGTGACCACGAAACTGCACGTCACTCGATATGTCGACTCCGAGGATACCGATACTGGCTGAGGCAAGAAGGGGAGTGCCTTGAAACTGAGGAGATACGACAAAGGGGTTCTTTTTAGCGGTAAACGCGCAAACTTGTGTCTTCTGAGGATTAAATTGGACTAGATTTAGTCGCCCCCAATCCGAGACTTTGCTCAGCAAAGACTCGACTTCAGACACAAGTTTGTTCCGGTACTCAGCGACGTTTTCCCGAGAAATATTGGCACGGCCGGTGTATAGAGCATCACCAGTGCTGTCATCCGCATAGCAATGAATGTTACCAGTTAGCAACATATCATTGATATGCAGAAGAAACAGCGTTGGTGATAGCACACAGCCTTGTGGAACACCAGCGTTAATAGGCTTGTAGTCAGAGCATGCACCGTCTACAACGACCTTGATGCTCCGATCTGCAAGGAAGCTGGTGATCCAATTGCACAATTTCTCGGGAAGCCCATAGGAAGGGAGCTTCGAAAGAAGCGCTTTGTGCCAAACCCGATCGAAGGCCTTCGCAATGTCCAGACTAACGGCCAACGCCTCCCCCTTGGACTCTACTGCCTCCGCCCATCTATGGGTCAGGTAGACCAGAAGATCACCAGCTGATCGACCCCGACGAAAACCGTATTGGCGGTCACTAATCAGCTGGTGATCCTCAAGGTACCGGATGAGCTGGCAGTTAATAATGGATTCCATTATTTTGGAGAACAAGGAGGTGATCGCGATAGGCCTATAGTTGGATGGGTCTGAGCGGTCGCCTTTTTTAGGGATCGGGTGGACAAAAGCTGTCTTCCATGAATTCGGGACTACGCCTTGGGAGTAGGAGTACCGGAAAAGACGCGTTAGGACCGGTGCCAACTCCGGAGCACACGTCCTCAGCACAATTGGGGGGATTCCGTCAGGCCCACTCGACTTCTGGATGTCCAGGGCGAGCAGTGCTTTGCGAACCGAGCGCTGTGAGAACAGCACATCCGGCATGGAGCACTCACACCGCGGGATGGTCGGCGGTGTTTTCCCCCCGTCATCAAGAGTCGAGTTGGACGCAAAAAGGGAGCCTAAAAGGTCGGCTTTGTCTTTTGCGTCATGGGCCAGTGAGTCATCCTCCCTGTGCAGAGATGGTAGTATTTAGTAATAGTATAGTAATTCTGCCTATGTGCTCTGACTTTGCCTTGGCAATAACTCTTTTGAAGGACCTGGAGGCGAAGTTATACTTCTTTTTAAGTGTGCTGGTATTTACATCCCGAGTCGCCGAAGCCGCAGCCCAGGCTTGATAACACTCCTGCTTACTGCGTAATGCAGTCTTACTGGAAAAGGGGCGTTCCATCTTAGTCCTCACGGGTGGCAACGCATCTGCGTTTTGATTCATAATCGAGGATAGATCCAGATATCTATGTACCACAGCAACCACTTACCATCAGGTGGACTGTGTGCTCATTTGTCACCCTTATCCTATAAAAAAAAAACCATCTATCTAAAGCTATTAGACCGTTCTGGCTCGATCCACATCCACCTCCTAGGGCACTCGTTACACACCAAAAGTTACACTTACCCTTAGATTCACACATTTATTTTTATCCATTTCCATTCCAATTCTCTGAACGAGTTCTTTGGTTTTTAAGGTCACGAGCCCGTGTACATTTTTAAGCTTCGCCGCAGTGAACACTGAAGTAAGACGTCTTCTTAGTAATGACCAGAGAGGATCCTGTATAAAAGGTTGCATTTTAAACAATGTTCTAATATATATATTATTTATTACTCAAGTGGTTGTAACGCGATTTCTGATCATAAGGGCTTGGGTTCGAACCCCGGGTCGAGCCAAAATCAATGATTGGGTTTTTCTGTCAAGAAATTGTGAATAGCATCCCGCAATTTTTGTGCACACGTCTCTATGTTTCAATGATAATAGTCTTCACTAAATGTTTGCCTAGAAGAAACCATCCTTTCAACAATAAGGCCACCTATTGATTGATATATTGAGTATAATATATATATATATATATATATATATATTATACTTATTATATATATATATATATATATATATATATTTAGCTGACTTTATACGTGGTAGAGCCATGCTGCAGCTATATTACTAGTATAGTTGTAGCACGAATTGGTCGGCTCGACCGGGGAAGGACCACGATCTCACAGAATACCAACATAAAATAGTTAATTTTTGCTGTGCCTTAATGTTGCTGTGTTCGCATGGTGAGTGTGAGGCTGACAACGCATCTGCATTTTAATTCGCAAACTAAGATAGATGTAGATGTCTATGGGTCACAGCAACCACATACCATCAGGTGGACTGTGTGTTCGTTTGTCACCCTTATTCTATTATTTTTTTTATAAAAAAGACTTCAAAAAGTTTGGGAACCGCAGGTTTTTGTTTTACTTTGACTTGTCATCAGAAAGATGCTGCTGCTCCAGAAAGCTGTTTAGCGTACTTTTAAGGAGTTAATGTCATTTTAATTATAATCGATCGAATAGGAGTGACGAAGACACTTCTAGTACAAGCTGGAGTAAGTGGCTATTGCAGCTCATCGACCACTGTAACGAAATTCAAACAAACTAGGCTCTACAGATGCATTCACACACTTGACCACTGATAATTATACTTGTTCTGCTGCATACCGTGAATAATATTATATACTTATGTTACCAATAGGTGGCCTTATTGTTAAAACAATGATCTCTGTTATGAAAATATTTGGTGAAGGTAATGATTATATAAACGTAGTTACGTATGCAGAAAAATACATATTATGACCGTTATAATATAAAGTATAAATATATAACAGAAACAGATAACAAAAAAACAGATAACAGTACACATATACCTACTGGAGAGAAGTAGATAAGATTTAAATTTCATAATGGACGCAGATTTAAATATTAAGTTGTTATTCGTTTTTTGAATGATTCGATGCTGGGAGCTTCCGCATCCCTAAATGTTATAGTTTAAACACTAAAGGAAGAATGAAAAAATGTTAAGTTGTGAACAGACATTTGTTAAATCAAGTTATCAGTTAGTGTAGAATGATATTCATGTGCGCCCACTACCTCACGGTCACGGCAGGGACTGAGATGTTTGAAGTGCCTATGTCATAGTTAGTCCAACTTCAGCTCTTGAATATTAATTTTAATTCCCGATGTTTCGGGTGCTTTACAGCACTCATGGTCACATGGGAAACTGAGGTGTTTAACGTCCCGACTATCCATTTTTTTAAACGCGATAAAATTAGTTTTATTCGAGGTCAAGTATTCATGTAAATATAAGAAATCACTATACCTTAGTAGATTCGAGTGAAATTGTACCTACTCAGTACGAACTTCCTACACAGGATGGATTTTAATGCTCACCAGATGTCGCTAGTTGGGACTGAGGTGAAGTTATTTGTTACGCAGATGGTCACAGAGTGTCATCATCATTAAAAAGTTACGTTTTAGATAAAAGTTTCTCGGTTTCTAGTGTATAGTACAAAACAATGCCTCAGTATCGTGTTCTTTAATGTTTTACACGATTATTTTTTTTTTAAATTCATCTACTTTTGGGAACATCCTTCATTTGGTTTATCCATTTCTAAATTAATGAATATAATATATAACTAATACTTCAGTAAGGAACGAACTTTTTCACCTTATTGTAAGTGGCGCTGCGCAGGTGTCAGAAAGTCGTGGATGTCCTCATTGGAAGCCATGTGCGAAACTCGGAAACACGATCATATTTGAGGAAACATTTTGGAAGAAAATTCCGAAGGCACACAGTAGCGTGCATCGGCATAATCAAGAATAGGGTTAATATCTAGAATAATTCGAACTGATAAGATCCTTTCCAAATATAGTGCGAGGTTTTCGAATCTTATATACATCCAGTGTGTTCATCTCGAATAATGTAGTTAGCGTGGATGAAATAAACGAAGTAAAGCGTTAGCAAGAAGAAGAAGTCTTACGTGGTAGAGCTATGCTGCAGCTATATTAGTAGTATCGTTGTAGCACGAATGGGTCGGCTCGACCGGGGAAGGATCACGCTCTCACAGAATACCAGCGTAAAATAGTAGCTTACCGCTGCTGTGTTTCGTATGGTGAGTTTAGAGAACCGACGACCCTTTTTACTGGAAATGAGGCATTCCATCTTAGACCTCACGGGTAATTTGTAATAAAGGATAGATGTAGATGTCTATGGTCCGCAGCAACCACTTACCATCAGGTGGACTGTGTGCTCGTTTGTCACCCTTATCATATAAAAAAATAACGACCTACAGAAATTATAAAATATATAGAGTATAACAGAAGCTATGAATGAGACATTTAAAGTTTCAGATTGTAAAAATGTAATTCATACATGGTTATAAAATTTGTCGAAAAGTCGTGAAAAAGTTGCTGATTGTGATATATTTAAGATTATATGAGTATTTTAGCTAAATTAACCCTAACTAGTGTATAGTGTATAGTGTATAGTGTATAGTAACTAGTGTTATTAATTTTATATAAGAAGCAGAATTTATTTGTTAGCGTATTTATTAGCACAAACACCTAAGATACAGGTTATTGTAGACTATTTTTAGATTACGAGATTGTATGAATTATATGAACAATTGAAATAGAAAAAAAAATTGGATAGTTACAAATATAATGAACTGCTTATAAATATAATGTCACTTACATTAACAGTGAACAAATTCAAGCCTCCAATGGGATCTCCTTTGCCGGAACTCAGCAACCTGTCTCTAAAAATCGCAGCGTCCTTAATCAGTACTCGGCGAGCGATTTCAGGACAGTTGATGATTAAAGCCGGTCGCCAAAACAACCACACGCCGACGTACGGAGACTTGAAGCGGTCGTACATCTCACGCATCCATAACCCCTTTCAAATATAATATAATATAATATATTGGAACATATATTTACAGATACAGAATTATATGTTAAACTATAAACGTAATGAACCCTAGTTTGTGAGAAACTGGTGCCTAATAAAGGTATTTAACACCTGTTCTATAGGTCACTATACATCTTTCTTAAATTTACAGGTTCGTAAAATATATTGAAGAGATCATTACTTTAATTGAATTAGTTATGAGAAAATTATTTTATCAAAAAAGACGAATATGAAATAGCCAATTTATGTAACGATGTAGATACATATTTTAGATTTAAATGTTTATGTATACGAATAAATATTACAATTAATTAATAAATATTAAATATATAAAAATAATAAATATTACAATTAATTAATAAAATATTACAAGTAAAACAAAAAATATTATAAAAAATGAAAAGGTTTTAAAGATATATTATTATGTGTGTCATATTATATTATAAATTTTGAGAGAACCGGAGACCCTTTTTACTGGAAAAGAGGCATTACATCTTAGTCCTCAAGGCTGACAACGCATCTGCATTCTGACGCGCACACGAGGATGGATGTATATGTCTATGGGCCACAGCAACCACTTACCATCAGGTGGACTGTGTGCTCGTTTGTCACCTTATTTCTATAAAAAATATGTAAGAAACTTTCGGTGGATACATAGGTTAAAAATTATTGCCAGTTTATTCTGATTTTTTTAAACGTTGGTGTTTTCAGATAGAAAATAAACTAAAGTTATGAAATTTATCTGAAACCTATGCAATTTCGGAGAATTGATTGTTCTATTATATAAATTTATTATATCTTATTGAGTATGCATAGGCATTTCCTCATGTAAAAAATGTGTCCATACAGTGCAATAACCATCACGTAGATTGTGTTTGTTTGTCACTACAATCAATACAGTAAAAATTCGAACTCGCTTTTTTCACATGCTATAAAATATAAGTTTAGCTCATAGCTTATGAGTTACTACTTCACATCAAAATTCTATAACATGTAGATCCATGCTGCAGCTTCAGGATCTTCTCGCAAGTCCTCAGAGTGTGTGCGAATGTTGTATGATATACGAAAATTTAAAAAAATGGTCTTTAATTATCTATTTATACGTGGTAGAGCCATGCTGCAGCTATATTAATAGTATAGTTGCATCATGTATGGGTCAAATCAACCGAGAAAGGACCTCGCTCTCACAGAATACAAGAGTAAAATAGCAGCATAATACTGTGTTATTGTACGAAGAGTGAACCAGAGACCCTTTTAACTGCTAACTAGCTATTCCATATTAGTCCTCAGTAGTGACAACGCATCTGCATTTTAATTCTTGATGAAGGACAAATGTGTCTTTGGGCAGCTTCACTTAAGATCAAGTGAAGTTTTCGTTTATTTGTCACCCCCATATTTCTATAAATAAAAGTAAACATTTTAAAATAAGATATCATACCGTGTTTTGTCGCTGCAAGAACGTTAGACTTCCTAAAATAAGATGTGGTGGGAGGTATGGTACTCCTCTCTTTGCCCAGTAATGCTTCACATGATTCCAGCGCGTGTAAATCCAAAGTGCGAAGCATAGTACTATGAATAAAATTAATATCAGGAACATCTAAAAACAAAAATGAATGTTACATTTCTTCATATTTTATTTTTGTGGATGAATAAATTTAAAAAATATTGTGGGTTATACCAACCATGCATTCGAATAAAATGCAGATTCGTCATGCACTATTATGCTTGACAACAATCTCATCTGCCGTGCGATTGCGTAACTCTGTTGAAAATATGATTTTTTCCTGATAATAATAAATCTAATCATTATGATATGATATATCAATGATTATAATAGCAAAAAAAAGATATTACTAAAAGATATTGGCTTATCGTCACTAGTGCATTTACAAAATGCTTAATGCTGCTGTTTTTATCGTGAGTGCAGAGAAACGGAGTCCCTTTTTACTGGAAACGAGACATCCCATCTTAGTCCTCAGGGGTGATATCTTATTTGGATTTTGATTCTTAATTGAAGATAAATGTAGATATCTATAAGTCATTGCATGCACTTACCATCAGGTGCACTGTGTGCTCGTTAGTCATCCTTATTCTATAAAAAATGACAACGTCAAAAGGAAGCTAACCACGGTTCTACCTAGAGTTACGCAATGGCACTTCTAGGTAAGTGTAAGTGGTGATGAAGTCTGGGTGGCGAAACGTCTAGCGTTGTACCAGCCAATTCAGTCATTTTTTTATAGGATCGGATGACAAACGACCACACAGTCCACCTGAATGTAAGTGGTTCCTGTGACCCATAGACATCTACATCTATCCTCAATAAAGACTCAAGATGCAGATGCGTTGTCACCCGTGAGGACTAAGATGGAATGCCTCTTTGCCAGTAAAAAGGGTCTCCGGTTCTCTACACGCACCATACGAAACACAGCAGCGTAAAGCTGCTATTTTACGCTGGTTTTCTGTGAAAGCGTGGTCCTTCCCCGGTCGAGCCGACCCATTCATGCTACAACCATAATATAGCTACAGCATGGCTCTCGACCACGTATATCTCGAAGACACCCACATTGTATTATGACGCAAAAACTGGTGCTGATAAATTATTCCAATTCCTCACACACTACACGTTACAAATAGTGTTGCCCAAAATCGGTCTTGGTCTTGCAGTCTTGGTCTTGTTCTTGCATTTTTGCAAGACCAAGACCAAGAACAAGACTGCCTCTTTTTAGCAAGACCAAGACCAAGACTGATCGTGCAAGATTTGCGCAAGAACAAGACTTAGCTTGCGAGAATCTTGCGTCTTGCAGTTAGGACTAAGTGTCGTTTCAGGGAGTATAGGAGTTCGGGTATACGCTTAGTATATATAATATAATGAAAAAAAAATGGAAAATTGGACTTATGCGCATTACGAACAATACAATAAATATACATAGCGAATGAAAATATCCATTAAAAGAAAAAAGAGTGTATCCCTAGTTTTGACCATCGGCACTTTGATAGTGCGCGACGTCTTGTTGTCGGCGTCATCAAAGGTCGGATACTGACCTGTCAAAGAAATTGTGCAGCTATTCGAAAGTACAAGGTCAAGATACACATGCCGGCGGCTACTATTGATATCGCATACAATCGTCGCCGCCGCGCCACGCGCACTACATTTGACACTGTTTGATTGCCGCCATAGAGTACATGTTTCAAAGAATAAAATAAGTTTCCGGGTGCTCAGAATGGACACGAATACATTATCCTGATCTCTCAAGAAATATTGTAATTAGATAATAGGTAGGTATCATAATAATTTATTCTAGTAAGTAATTATTATAAAATTAACTATATGGATTTATAATAATTACTTTCTATTATTGTTATTATTATTACCTAAAAGATAAACATGTTTAGTAAGTTCACTGCAAATCTCGACTTTTGCAAGTGTGTGTTTTTAAAACACAAAGTGCTCGAATATGTCGTCACACATTTGATAAATATGGTTGACACCATAGCATTTTTAAAACACTTGAAATGTGTAAAAATGGATCTGGATCTTGTCTTCAAGGCTTAGTTATTAAGGAGTTGGAGGGGTACCTAGGTAAACCCAGAGCCGTCATCTCGGAAGACATTTTAGACTGTTGGAGGACGCATGAGACAAAATATCCGATTTTATCGAAGATGGCCCGTGATTTTCTTTTAATACCTACAACTTCAGTATCTGCTGAGAGATTATTTTCTAAAGCATCATTAGTAATTAGAAAACATAGAAATAGGTTAAGTGATGAGTCAGCCAGATGGTTACTTTGTATTAATGCTTTGTCAAAAGAATAAATATAAAGTACCTAACAGTAATGTCAAAGCTGTTGTGTACATACTGTGAAGTAATTTATTTTTTATTTAAATAAATGGTATATTGTATAACTCTTTATTCCATTTCATATATGGTGAGGGTCCATCAATCTCTTTCTAGAGAGATAATTTTATTTAAAATACAGTGTAGTTATTGCCATTAATTTGTTTTTATATGTATGTTTAACCATGTTTTAGCACATGTAAGCTTATTAAATGTAAACGTTTATTAAGAAACTGACGCCCATGGCCGTGGGACACGGTAGATAGCTCAGTTGGTTAGAGCATCGGCACGGACCGCTTAGGTCGTGGGTTCAAACCCCACCCGGTGTCAGTTGATTTTTCGAATTTCTCATTAAATGTTTAGACATTTATTAATACGGTTGGTCTTTACTATGGCTATGTTAATTTAAGCTCAATATTTACCTACTCTGTTAAGTTGTTCTAAGATCTAAAGTAGTTTAATAAATAGTAATAGGTCATTGCGAGACTTGCGAGACTCTTGCTGCAAGACCAAGACCAAGACCAAGACTTGGAGCGCAATACCAAGACCAAGACCAAGACCAGTTGTATTGGCGCAAGACCAAGACCAAGACTTGCTAAGTCTCGTCTTGTTCTTGCATTTGGGCAACACTAGTTACAAACAATAAAGTAATTTTTGTATACACAAAATGTTTCATCTACATGTTAGGTATACATAAGGTTATCTGATTTAGAGGTTGCAACAAAATAATATTTACATTAATACGTGAACATCGAAAATTGACCTTGCACCTTTGTTTAAGTACTTATTATTAAAGGAGAGGAATGAGGCTTATATCATTGGAAAGGTACCGTGCCACATAATTGCACAAAACTAGAGCATCATGTGTATATATTACCGCTAAAGCAGGTAAAAAAGTTAACACATTACCAACACACTTGATTTTTCCAAGCAAACACCAAGCAAATGTAAGAAGTTTGATTGCGTTCATGGCATGCGGCCATGAACGCAATCAAACTTAAGAAGATAAAATCCCTTTGCCGTCCACGCATGGTATAGTATTACAAAAAAAACTTATTTACTAAGCATTGTTTTCACACCGTTATCTTTGGTCGAATTTCAACCACAGTTGAACCAGGCGACACTATTAATCTAGTAACATTTATTCAGTCAAGGACATTTTAACTGCGTCATTGGCCTTGTGGTCGTAAGTGCGACTGCTGATCATAAGGTCCAAGGTTCAAATCCCGGGTCCTCTGTTTTTTTTTTGGTTTAGCCCCGCCAACCGTGTCCTTCGAACTTTGAGAATGAGAGAATAAATATTAGATCTATGCTAATGCACGTCCTTGTATACTATAATCCCGTCCTTCGCAGGTGGCTAGTTACCGTTGAAACGCCGTGACCGAAATTTGGTCCGAAAAAAGACAATAAATTTTTTTATCTTTGTTGTTGCCAACTTGCTTGCCGAGCATGGCAACTGTAGCAAATATGATGAAATATAATGATTAATCCAATGAGAATATAATCACGACGTATCGTATCGATTTTTAAAAGAAACAAAATTTAAATTTAGATTTCCAAGTCGAATAGTGCATTCAACTTGGAAATCTATCTGAAATCTATTCGAATTTTTCAAAACTATATATAGTTTTGACAAATTCAGTACTAAAAACGACAGTGTTATAGAAACGACAAAATATTTAAAACATTTTTGTTATTAATTATAACATTTAAATAAATAGAAAGTACTAACTACTACTAACTAAAATATAATTATAAAGAAATTATTTTTTAAAGTTACATAAATTATAACAAAAATGTACAAACCTTCAGTATTAAAATATACTTCCGTTCGAATTTTTCAAACAAAATTGACAAACTGGTACTTGACAAACAAGAAGTTTTGAAATATGTTAGTCAAACGAGGAAGATTAACTGTTTAACAGTTCATGATAAAACACTCCACGGGATTATTTTGTCGCCTATAATGTCGATCAGGGCTGCCCACACCGGAGACTTTATGCGCCAATTAACACTGTAGATTCTTCTACAGTGTTAATGAAACAAAAAAAAAACTTGATGTGAATAATTATTTACGGTTTTTTGAAAATCTCTATCATACAAGGAATGACATTGTAAATTATTGTTTTATAACGAAACCATCTGGGCTTCCAGCTGGTTTTTCTAAGGACAGAGGTATCTTAATATCTGAAAATACAATTATTCCAAGACCATACCTAGTATGGCAGAATTTTAACTAGTAGCCTACATAGGATATAGGCTAAAAGCTACAGGTATCTTCATGATGTTTTGATTGTTTTTTTTTTAAAGGAATAAACTTGACAAACGAGCACATATTCCACATATTGGTAAGTAAATGCCGTGACATATATACACCTAGCATCTGTCCTCTTTTAAAAATCTAAATATTTTTATGTGAACCTCAAATAGGAAACACAACAACATTAAACTGCTATTTTACGCTAGTATTCTGTGAGAGCGTGATCTTTCCCGGTCGAACCAACCCATTGGTGGCTGCAACCATAATTTTGTTGGAGGTGGTTTCCCAAACGACCGAGCTAGATAACCGAGAGTGATAGCTGCAACTCGGACTGATTATACTTCTAAAAAAATCCGAAAAAACAAAATCATCATATCGTGTCCTCCCGTTTCCTACTGCACGACTGGGTCGATTTTAAAGTTTTTTTTTTTTCAATATAAGAGTAATTGTGGCTTGGTCTATATATTTTCTATCTTGCTATTACTATTTACGTTCTCTACAT